GGGGATGGCCATGCTACACTCCCTTCTCCTCCATTCACCTCTCGAGGTTTTGGGCACACATACACACGCACCTGACATGAGTTTAAGCCACTGGGTCCGGAATTTATGGTTGACTACATGGGAGTCCAGAGATATAACTGTTCGGCCATCTGCTGGTCCCTTTGACTTCCTTTTCTTTTCTTTTTTTAAGAATTATTTATTTGACTTTATTCATTCATTTATTTCTAACTTGATGAGAGAGAGAAGGTGAGAAAGCAAATCACCAGGTTGGGACTCGAACCATGGTCAGCCATATGGGCGTGTCCAGCTCCTTAAACACCACATCACCCACTGGTTCCCCTTTGGCTTCCTTTTCACAAGGGAAAATTGAGGCACAGAGAGGTTAAGTGATTCAACCAGAATCATAGCCCTCATAACAATGAATCTGGCAAGGAGCCTTGACAACCTGGTTCCAGAATCTATAACCTGGTTCCCAGGAAGTTCACTGCTCACTGAGAAATGGTATTGATTCCGTCTCCAAAGATGTCTTACCTCAATCCTCTTCTGTCTTCTCCACCATCACCATCAACAACGCCATCATATTCCTGAACCACACTTCAGAGACCCTACCTGGTCTTCCATTTCCACTCATATTCCTCTCAGTCTGCAGCTGGAATGAAGGTTTTCAAATAGAAAATGGGTCAAGTCATCCAGCTCCCCACACTTACCTCTAGAAATAAAATCTAGATTAATCTCTGAGCTTACAGGTCCCACCTCCTATCGCTCTGGCTCCTTCCTGAGCTACAGTCCTTCCTTAGCCCCACTCACCACACCTGGTCACTCTGGCCTCCTTTCACTTCCTGACATGGACAGAGCTTTTTGTTACCCCAGGGCTTTGACACTTGCTGTTCCCTGGGCCCAGAATGTTCTTCCTCCACTTTGCATGGCTGGATTCTTTTCATCTTTCCATCCCAGTTTTCATATCATCTCTGTGTAGAAACCTTCCCTGATGGTCTCATGGTAAACAACCTATCCCCAAGCTCATTTTCCTTTTTGTTCTTTATACTATTTATTATAATTATGTTTTTATTTTACATTTTTTTGGAGAGAGATTTTTGCTATAGGGCACATGCACTCGCCATAGACACAGAGGAAGACCAAGAGACAGAAAGTGAGAAACCACTGCCTAGGGCGGATGGCCACACTGCAATTCCTTCTTCTCTGATCTCCTCTTGAGATTTTGGATATGCATGCACATGCACCCAGCATGAGCTTTAAGGTCCAGGGTTCAAACAGTGGTCAACTACGTAGGAGTCTAGCAACATAACCATTATGCCATCCGCTGACCCCATAATTTGTGTGTGTGTGTGTGGTTTTTATTATCATAATCTTGTTTATATTACATTGAATCACATAGAGAGATTTTTGCTACAGAACATGTATACTCACCAGAAAGAGAGACAGAGAGACAGTGAAAAATCACCCCCTAGAGGAGATGGCTATACTGCAATCCTTTCTCCTCTGTTCTCCTCTCAGAATCCTGGGCATGTATATACATGCACCCAGCATGAGTTTTTTTCTTTTTTTTTTCTTATTTCTTTTTTTGGAGTGCCCAGTGTGAGTTTTAAGCCAGGACTCAAACCACAGTCAACTATGTGGGAGTCCAGTGACATAACCATTACATCATCTGCTGGTCCCATGTATGGTATGTATTTTTTTATTGTCTATTAAATGTCTCTTTGTCTCACTACATTCTAAACACCATAATGATTATGTCTGGACTACCACGTGGTTGACTGTGGTTTAAGTCCTGGACCCTGTGGCTTACACTCATGCCAGGCATGTGTGCATGTGTGCCCAAAATCCCAAGAGGAAAATGGTGGAGAAAGGATTGTGGCATGGCCATCCCTCCTGGGGGATCATTACTCGCTTTCTATCTCTTTCTCTCTGGTGAGCGCATGCTCTATCGCAAAAAAAAAAAAAAAAGATGTCTATTTTGTTCATCATTACAGTATTTTTTTAAAGATATTTTTCAAATAATTATTTATTTAACTTTACTTGTTATTTATTTATTTATTTATTTTGGAGAAGTTTTTGCTATAGGGCATGTGAGCTCTCCAGACAGACACAGAGAGACAGAGAGACAGAAAGTGAGAAATTACCCCGCAGCAGGGATGGCCACACTGCAATCCCTTCTCCTCCATTCTCCTCTCCTATCTTGCGCACGCACACAGACGCGCCCGGCATGAGTTTAAGCCACCGGGTCCAGGACGCAAACCACAATCGACTACATGGGAGTCCAGTGACATAGCCATTACGCTAACTGCTGGTCCCAACTTGTTATTATTTTTTAACTTGACCATTAAAAGACCAAGAGAGAGAAAGGAAAAGTGAGAAAGCAAGCTGTCAGGCCTGGGACTCAAACCATTGTCAGCCATGTGGGAGTCCATAGCCCCAACCATTATGCCACCTGCTGGTCCCGTTATAGTATTTTTTAAAAGTTAATTTTTTTCCATGAGTGAGAGACACAAAGAGAAAGAAGTGGAGTCTGGATACTGTGATCTGGCCCTAGCTTCAGCCAGCCTCAGAGGATGGGCTACATGTACCTGGTATGCTCAGGGAGGCTCTGGATGTGAATCCAGATCCTTCCCATGTGGGTCAGTCTCCAAGAGCCTGCTCCACCATCTGGTTTCTAGTAATTACCCAATGCCCGGCACGGAACCTGGTATAGTATAGTCAGCACCTAATAACTACTGAATGTATGAAAGGGCCACAGAACATGGCATGGGTATGGCTGCTTGGTAAACTCGCCTAGGTTTGGTTACAACTGTTTCATCTCCCACTGCGTATGTTCATTTCTTTCTTCCTTATTTGGAGCAGTGACAGAAGAGGGTTAGAAGGAAACCAGGAAGTTATGGGTGAGAGAGTGGAAGCAGGGTGTGTGCTTCAGGTGACCTCTCAGGGTAGATGATGTCATGTCAGGGGCCCAAGGGAGACTTGCAGCTCCCAAATTCCCCTTGCACAGCTCCTGGGTTCTTTCCACAAGACTCTTAGGGCTGTGAGGAATTTCCTGGTAACACACGAGGCACTTCCTCTCTAGCTAAGCACAGGCATCCAGCAGGTGGACCATATGGATGTGGTGTTCTGTCTTTATGATGGCAGCGTGGTGCTGGGCTGAGAGTCCAAAGACAGGGGTCCCGGTGTCACTATTAACTAACTGGGTGACTTTGAGCAAGTTGCTTCCTTTTTTTTTTTTTTTTTTTTTTGCTATAGGGTGCATGTGCTCACTGAAGAAAGAGAAAGACAGAGAGAGAAATAAAGTGAGGAATCAGCCCGTGGGGATTGGCTCTTCTCCTCCCCTTTTCTCTTCAGATTTTGGGCAGGCATGCACATACACCTGATGTAATTTTCAAGCTAGGTATGGAACTAGGACTCGAACCACAGAAGTTAGCCATGTGGGATCCAGTGCCTAGATCTCTCTCCCACCTGCTGGCCCAGGCAAGGCATTTCTTTTTTCCCATCTGCAAAGCAAATGTTTAGGATAGAAAAATGGCTTTAAAGGTTTTCATTTTTTCCCTAGCAGCTCAACTCTGTCAATTATTCAGATAACCAAGAGATAAAAGCCAGTGGGTCTGGTTGGGCTCTCCTCCCTCCCAGCTCCCCCTGCAAATCCCCTAGGGTAGTGGATGGCCACCTCTAGGACTGCACGGTCTCAGCAGGAGTCAGCAAGGTTTGCACACAGTGGCTGTGGTCGCAGCTCTCTGGCACTTTGGAAGATCAGGAGGGAACCAGAGAGGGATTGCTGAGTCTGATGCTCAGAGCTTTCAGGCCGTAAAATAGGTGAATTTTACAGCAGTTGAAGGGCAGGATAGGCAGCTCTCTTGGTGCAAGGAAGTTTCAGTCATCTTAGAAAAGAAATGAGGACTCAGGAGAGAAGAAGCTCAGAAGAATCACTTTCCTTTTCCACATCTAGAAGGAGGAAATTGCCACCCCAACCTCTCCAGGCCAGGGATTCCAGGTCTTAAAGGGACCGCCCACCATCTTGCTCCCGGTTTGATTGGTTGCCAGGCCCCAGGGGGAACGCAGGTCCTCCACCACCACACCTCAGCACCCGGGCAGGGCTGGGCCTGGGCTCCAGGCAGGTGTGCTCAAGAGGCTGCAGGCTGGGCCACCTGGCACCTCCAGGTGCTGCGTGTGTGCTGCCATGGAGACAGCCCCAGGCTGGCGGCCAGAGCAGGCAGTCTCCCAAAGCTTTGCAGATTCAGGAGAGGGAGAGACCGGAGTCTCAGGCCCTTCAGCATAGTCTGCCCAACCACCCTAGAGACCACGGACACTCAGGTGAGTGTCTTGAAGGTTTACTGGGACAAAGGGAGGGTCAGGAGCCAGGGGAGTTCCCAGGTGGATTGGAAAGAGGCTCTCAAAAGGCTGATCTGCGGACTGGGGTAGGGGAGCCACTCCAAAGCTCGCAGGTTTAGGAGAAAAGTCTTAACAGGGGTCCCCTAGCCAGGCTGAGGACTGGGCAAGGCAGTTCTGGAAGCCTGGTGCTCTAGCCCAAGAGAAGGATGGACAAAGGGCCTAGCATTTGTCCCTAGAGGAGGGACAGATCAGAGAATTCACAAAGCCCATCTCTGCCCTAACCAGGGATTTGAGGTGGCAGGGAAGGAAATACTTTGCCTTTAGCAAAACTGCTGACTGCGGCTCACCCTCCCCTGTGCCTGGATCCAGGGCAGCTGAGGCAGACCAAGTGTCGGGACATTTGTGTCATCTTCAGGCCGGGAGTGCAGTTTCCTCCAGGTGTTGCTGCAGGGGTGGCTCAGACCTGCACCCTGATCAAGGGGAGGCTGCAGGAATGGGAGCCTGAACTCAGTGGCTTGGGAACTGGCTGATCCAGAACAAAACGCCTCTGAGCCTGTTTCTTCATCTGTAAAATGTAGAGGATGATGTCTTCTAACACCTGCCGGACACTTAGTCTCAGACCACGCAGAGACAGAGTTTAACGGTGTTCCTTTCCCCTCTACCAGGACGTTTCCTGCAAGGCCTCCTGGCGTGTGCTCTGGGGATGGCTGAGCAGCAGGGTCAGGAGCGTGAGGCTGAGTGCCCTGTCTGCTGGAACCCCTTCAACAACACGTTCCACACCCCCAAAGTGCTGGACTGCTGCCACTCCTTCTGCGTGGAATGCCTGGCCCACCTCAGCCTGGTGACCCCGGCCCGGCGCCGCTTACTGTGCCCACTATGTCGCCAGCCCACTGTGCTGGCCTCAGGGCAGCCTGTCACTGACTTGCCCACGTACACTGCCATACTAACCCTGCTCCGCCTGGAGCCCCACCACGTCATTCTGGAAGGCCGCCAGCTCTGCCTCAAGGACCAGCCCAAGAGCCGCTACTTCCTGCGCCAGCCACGGGTCTACACGCTGGACCTCGGCCCTGAGCCCGGGAGCCAGACTGGGCTGCCCCAGGACGTATCACCCACCACTGTGCCTATGCCCATCCCCGTCCCCAGCCAGTACTCTCTGAGGGAGTGTTTCCGCAACCCTCAGTTCCGAGTCTTTGCCTACCTGATGGCTGTCATCCTCAGTGTCGCCCTGCTGCTCATCTTCTCCATCTTTTGGACCAAGCAGTTCCTGTGGGGTGTGGGGTGAGCTCTCTGTGCCCAGACAAGGAGCCAAGCCTTCCTCAGCTGCTGCTGGGTCTGAGGACTGCAGAGCCTCATTTGGTGGCATCTCCCTTTATAGTGTTGTTCATTTCACAACCCAGGGATTGATTAGGGGCCTTACCGTAATGCTCGGGGAACAGAGCAGCCCTTACTATTAAGAGTTTAAAAAATAAATAAGTAAACTGAAGGGGCTGGAGGATGTAGAGAGAGTTCTGGGCACGAACCCTGCGGTCATGGAAGGGCAGAGAAGCAGACTATAGAACTACAGAGAAAATTGTGCCAAAGGACTGGACAATGGTATCCAGGACCTGACTCACCCAAATACAAGTTGCATTTCTCACCAGAGCTGCTAGGAAAAGCCCAGTTCATAATTTTTATTATTATTTTTTTAGTTGCTCTTTTTATTACATGTTGCTAAAATATTGGAAAAGCGAGCTTCAATATTGTGGGCAAATGTGATCATTTCCCCTCTTTCAACTTTCTCTTTGGATGTCTTGCCACCAGTTCCAGTAAAAAATGGTTTGTATTCATTAATTCATTCACTTATTCATTTGACAGACATTTATTTTTTATAAAGAATTATTTTATTTAACTTTATTCATTTACTTATTTTTAATTTGACCAGAGAGGGACAGAGCAAGAGAGAAGGAAAGTGAAAAAGCAAGCTGCCAGGTCCAGGACTCAAACTGCAATCGGCAACGTGGGAGTCTAGTACCCTTAACCACCAGGCCACCTGCTGGCCCCTCATTCAGCAACCATTTATTAAGCTGGTGCTGGGAGCTAGGACTAATGAAGGAGGGGGGAGATTATCCAGAGGTGATAGGTGCCTTTACTAGCAGGGCAGGTGCACTCATTTGCTGCTTTTTATAGAAGACCACCTCTGGTCAGCGTGGAGTTCACAGAGTGTAAAAGTAAAGATGAAAGGAGGCAGGATCAGCCAAGAGAAATCTGGAATTTGAAGAAAGCCTGGCAGTGCAAAGGCCCTGATCAGAATGGACATAGGTAGAGGGCTTGGACTCCTCCTCCCAAGCAAAGCAATTCTGGCCTCAAGAGGTAACTCAGAAACCCCATTTACAAGAAAAGCCTCAACTCCCACCCTGGCCATAAGCAGGGCCCAACAGATGGTGTAATGGTTACGTCGCTGGACTCCCACATAGTCAACCATGGTTCTAGTCCTGGACCTGGTGGCTTAAAACTCATGCCAGGTGCATGTGTGTGCATGCCCAAAATCCTGAGAGGAGAATGGAGAAGGGATTGCATTGTGGCCATCCCCCTGGGGGTGATTGCTTGCTTTCTGTTTCTCCTTCTGTTTCTCATGCGAAAGTGTGTGCCTGGTAGCTAAATAAAAATCTCTCTTTTTAAAAAAAAGAGCAGAGGGGATACTGGTTTTCATTTTTCAGGACAGGACCCAGGAACCAAGGAAACTAAGTAGAGTTTGGATAGTTGAGTGGTTGCTATCTTGCCGTATCTTAACATCTTG